ACCACCCATTTGGAAGCTAAATAGCACCCTGATAGTATATAATAGGGTTATAGAAGAATATAGGATGAATTAAAATTAGTTTTTCAGTTTGAAATAGTTCAAATACTCAAGAAAGTTGCATCATACCTCAAGAAAACTGTTGAAAATAATGTAGAAGGTCTGGTATTTTGGAAAATATTACCTTTTCTTCATAGTCAACAGAGATCCCATGATGCAATTTTGTACATTCAGTGATTGTTACTGTTGTTGGTAGGTGTCATCAAATTGAGTATGAATCATAGAAACCCTGTGAACAATATATCTGAACCTTGTCCTATGTTTTGCCAACCTCAAATCTCTTGACACTCAAGCCCATTACATGGTTTAAAATTAAGTATGGCATGTATTAAGGTTGTATCATTTCATCATACCTATTCAATCTTTATGCTGAACAACTTATTTGAAAAGCTGAATTCTGTGAAGAATATTGTGGCATCAGGATTGGAGAAAAACCTCATCAGTCAGTGACTAATAATTGCAAACACATTTAAGAAGAACATAAAGAGGATTATACACTTGGAGCAAATCTTTTATCCAGGCCTCAAACTGACACTTGTGGGACAGTGGAGAAGCTCAAAACAAGACCAGGGGCCGACCGTGAAACAGACCATCAATTGCTCATATGCAAAGGCAAATTGATGTTAAATATAACTAAAAGAAAACCACAAATATAAAACCACAAATGCAATGTTTTAAAAAAACATCTAGATAATCTATTTGAATAATTGAACGCTAATCACCAGATGACCAGACAAATTGTTGGGTGACATCACCATGAAGAAAGCAAAAGTTCAATAAAGAGACAAAAATGAAAGAAAAGAGAGAATAAGAAAGAGTGAAAAACATTAGAAGGAAGAATTGGAGGAAAGAAGAAAGAAAAAAGGAAGGAAGGAAGGAAGGAAGGAAAGCAGGGAGGGAGGGAGGGAGGAATAAAAACGCATGTGAGAAGAGATTGGAAATTTTCCTTTTGAATGGAGAGAAGCTAAAGCAAAAGGAATAAATTATGAAATGATAGAGTTGAGTAAAATTTAATACAATTTCAAAGGCCAAATCGAGAAGACAAAGTATTAAAAAGGCAATTCAGGTTTAGCATTTCTTAAGGTGGAAACCCCCCCTAATAACAATCATAACCAAAAAAACTCAAATTCAAGCCTTCAGTTGACATATTAAAGAATTCTACAAGTAAAATACAAAATTATGTTGTTGCTGTTGTTATGTGCCGTCGAGTAGATTTCAACTCATAGCCACCCTATGTACTATTATGAACCCTTCTCTATTTTGAGCCAATTTCATTGTCTCTGACATACCTACTCGCATTACCCCAGTGACTGAATTAATTCATCTCATCCAGGGTCTTCCTGTCTTGTGCTCTCCATTCATCCTTCAAAATATATCCTTTTC